ATTTTGAAACACTGAGCTTTAATAACTCAGTAGTGCAGTAACATGTTGGACATCATATTCATATTTGGACTACCTCGTCTCAAAATTCAGCTATTTTAAAACCCTTATTTTGTTGAGAGCCTTTTTATTGTCTCACTCGAGGACAGGCATATGGCTTTTGGGGATTTTCAGCTGTGGATGCTCTGCTGAAAGCTTCAAGCTGTAAAGATGAGAATGTCAAAGAAATGAGCACTGATCAAAAATACCAAACCAGTTTCACATATATGCAAATCATATACAAAAACATACATAAATATACATATACTAAAGGTAAATTAAGTCAGCAACGTGCCATACCTTCTCACGGTTCTCAAGCAGCAAAACATTTCAGCAACTCAATAGTCAAGCCAAATTTCAGCCATCCACTAACTCACTTTAAAAAAAGGAAAAAAAAAATCCTGTTTAGTAACAAACAGGGATATTTTCCCCTGCTACTTACCAGTGCATTCTCTAAATCATAAGTGGTAACTTTCAAAGTCACAACGGTAATACAAAATTGAGCAACCACACATAAAATCTAAAGGTTTGTGTAAGAATGTTTTCAGTTTCCTCTACTAACAGTGAGTCTTGCCAACATTAAGAGTTGTTACCGTATTTTGCTTTGAGGATGAATATTTAAAGGCATTCCAGTTAGAAAAAAAAACACCCTAAAAATTACCTATGGACAATGTTTCCTGCTCTTCCTGATGTTCAGGTTTTGTTCTGAAAAAAAGCAAAAAAACAGAGGCTTTCTTTAAGCACTAACACATACCAGTTCATGGAATTCCATGTAAATTTTTACTAAGTCCGAAACTCTCAAACAAATGATAATAATTTAAAATGTACATGCCAACTATTTTATGGAAGCATAATGTAAATACAAAGACAAAGACACTGTCTTACAACAGTGCCTTGAAATCTTTTATCAGAAGTTTGCTGGCATTCATAAAAACGAATTAGCAATTTTTACCAGTAACTTCTGCACTATGCAACTGTAGGTTGAGAGTTTTCCAGCAGTAGACAAAACACTGGGCATGTCAGAGTGCAAACATGCACCTAATCATTAGGGATTATGAGGGAAGCTCCCTATTGGCAATGTTTTCTTATATGTTTTCAAGCACTCTTTTTTGAAAAACATACTTTTGTTTGCACTTTTCGAAATAACATGCTTGCTAAGTATGATGTTTTCAAGCTGAGATAAGCAGTTATCAGAGAAACACCGTCCATGTTCCAATACAGCGTGATAGTTCCTATGACTTCCTTGCAAAACACTTGAAGTTTTAAAACTTACTAATAAAAATAGACTTAACCAAGAGGTTGTTTTACTAGAAGCAGATAGTGGGAGAAAAAAATATGCTGGGCTAAAATAACCCCAGATTACTCAATATTTTTTGTCTTCTGATTTTCAGCTAGGTGAGCAAGACTGTAATAATGTCATTTTTAGTGTCCGTGACAACAGTCCTAATCATAAACTAAGTTAAATACATTAATAAGCTCTCTGGTAATAAAAGTTTTCTCCTTCTGTAATTTTAGCTTCAGGCATTTGGACAGAGGATGGAAAAAACCATCTCAATCCGCGGTGACGCTTTATATAACCAGACAAAAGCATCATTGTTTCTTGCTTCAAATGCGGCTTGGAAATTGGTACACTGCTTAGTCAAAAAACAAAAGCTCCTGGTCTTGACCAAGTTTCACCTGCACCCCACCTCAAAGTCACTCACACTTGCTAACACAGAACAAAATATTAACTACGTACAGTCACTCAGCAAAACCCTTCGGCAACACGGCGCTGCACATCGCTGCTATCTCACCTCGGGCCGAGGGTGTTTGTTTCGGGTGCTCACCTATACCCCAGGCAGCACTGAGGAAAAAGACTGAAAACAAACAAGATGATAGCGGCTCAGAAAATAAGCTCGGGCCAACCTGACTCACTCGCTGCTTGAAAGGAAACAGTGGCCCGGCTACAGAGACAGCTTCAGCTACTGGAAACAGAGCCCTGGTAGAATTCACCTTAAGATTCACTAAAGAAAAGGTGTTCCCAGCAGACGGCAGAACTGACAGCCCCCGGCTCGCGGGCCTTTCGCACCCTCAGCAACAAGGCACCACTGGGTAAGGGGAAGGGACCGCTGATCCCGGGCCGAGCTCGACCGGGTAGAGCCGAACCGAGCCGGAGCGAACCGAGTCCGGCCAAAGCGAGCTCGCGCCGGGGAGAGCCGACCCGAGCCGAGCCGAGCGAGCCCGTGAAGCCGAGCCCGACCCGAGCGGACCCGAGCCGGCGGAGACCGATCCGAGCGACGCGATCCGGCCGACCCACCCCGGTGCCGCGGCCGGGCCCGCGCGTGCCCAGGCGCACGTAACGGCCCGCGCGTGCCGGCGCACGGGGCTCGCTCCGGCCCCGGCCCACCCCGCCCGCCCGCCCGCCCGCGGGGGGACGGGGCCACGGAGCCCGGCCCGGTTTCAAAGCATACACTCCCTCACGCACCCCCCCCGCCGGGCTCGGTCTCGCACCATCCTCGGCGCCGTCGCCGCTGTCCGAGCGGGCGTCTCGAGCAGGAGGCGGTGAGTGCGATGCTTCCCGCTCCCTCCTCTTGCCCTCCCTCGAGGAAGAGGCGCGGTGAGACCCCCGGCCCAGCCCCGCTTACCGCCGCGGCCGGACGGCGCCCACCGGGGTCGGCCCATCGCCCCCGCCGACGGCCCCGCAGGGGCGGCCCGGGGATTCCCGCTGGGGGCGGGGCCGAGAAGTGGGCAGGACACACGGGCGGCATCAATGGCGTGGCCATCGGCAGTGGGCGCGTGCCCGGGGCGGGCAGCGCCCCCTCCCGGGCCGCTCCGCGCGCAAGCGCACGCGCAGGCCCGCTCCCCGGGGCTGCCGTGGGAAGCAGCCCTTCCCATTCCAGCGGGTCCTGCCTCGGTGCCTGCAGTGGTTCGTCAGGGACGCGGAAGGGAAAACCCTCGCCACAAGAAATGTCTGCCGTTCTGCAGAGGGGATGGGAGCGGTTTATCCAAATGCCTGCGCACGCCTCACGTTGCCTTTCTGCAGAAAGAGAACACCAAGTGGGCCAAGAACCAGCCGTGAGCTCTGCGGTCCCGATGGGAACGCAAGAGCGGTTTTCCTGCAGTTACACAGAGTCAGGTTGGAAAAGACCTCTGAGATCATCGAATCCAACCTATGACCTACCATTTCAACTAGACCATGGCACAAAGTGCCACGTCCAGTCTTTCCTTAAACAACTCCGGGGACAGTGACTCCACCACCTCCCTGGGCAGCCCATCCCAATATCTAATCACCCTTTCTGTTAAGAAATTCTTCCTAATGTCCAACCTAAACCTCCCCTGGTGCAGCTTAAGACTATGTCTATGTTACTAATGCTCGATGTACACATACATTTACACATCTATTTTTCTTCCGAGATATCAAAATGCAGCTGATACAGGGACATGGAACCTCAGAGCAAAAATGCCTGTTGCTGACAGAGTAAGAAAACAAAGGGATATTAACTGCTAGGGACTGGAGTTATTTGCATGCGATGTATTGCATTTCTAGGCAGGAAGGGTTAAAAAGAGGACTGACAAGGTTTAGGAACTAACTGTAGTTCAGTGAAGCTTTTAATCAAGTTAACACTCTCACAGCCCTTCGGGGATTTTCTTAATTTCCATAACGTGCAGCATGTTTTTTGCTTCACAACAGAAGCCAATCAGTTATGTAAGCAAATTGGTTGCATAATTATGCAGATGAAAAAATAAATTTAACTGATTCAACAGAAAACCGTGCTGTTCATTTCACCTGGGATTTCTTTTAACTTCGTGAGGAATAAAATAAATTGGGAGACGTCATCAGCAAGCAGGCCTGCCAGATAGCAGCTCCATTGCATAGGGTACGTATTCCCAAAGAGAGGCCTCCTCCCCCTGCCCTAGCACAGGAATTAATTCCTGCTTTTTAGTTAAGTCTCAGCACTTAATGTGTGATGGGAGTAGTGCTGTGGCTTTATCTGGTTGTGTTATCTGTACCCAGGACACATCCCACTGGCTCAGCAAGCAGCACAGATTTCCAAATTGAAAGTTTGTTTCATACCAGATAAAATTATCGTCTGAAAAAGTCTGTATTTTGACCACTTGTCCTCTAACAGAACGAGAATTTTAAGCATTCTTTTTGCTTAATTCTAAGTTGCTACAAGTGGCAATGGAGCTGTTTTCTCCTCACTCCTTTGTTTGTTTTGGTCCTGGATCTGCAGGTCAAAAAGTAGCATCAGTTTCTCAGAGAAACAGTTCCATCACAGGCAATGGTACCGAACTCAGACCAATCATGTCAGCATTAATTTTTGATACTACTCATCATCCTAACAATTTTAGAAAAAGTTATGCAGAAGGAGCTAAGACTGAAAAATGTAGACCTGGGATCTGCAAAAAAAACTCCCAAAAAACCCAAACCCATGATGATGCAAGATGCATCTGGAGAATGTGAAAGGACAAGAGATGTGAAGTGGTCATTGCTTTTAATGTGGCCGTATTTTACTAAGATGAGGAATATGGCATTAAGATTTCAGTAATTAAAGTTCCATTACTATACCAGGGACATTTTATTATTTTTCCTCAAGTGAAACTCTCACTAACATCCACTTGAATTCTTCAGTAAACTGAGCGCAGCCTGTAACCCTGGCTGTAGCCTCATCTCAAGTCTACAGTTACAACTGGAAGCTGGCCATCTCCACAGCTGGGAGCTTCAGCCCAATTTATTCATGAGCATTTGCTACACTATGTGCTCTGGTGTGGTTAAAAACTGCACAGTCTGACTGATTTCACACTTTCTTAACCTCCCTATGCAGCATATCATACTCCAGATTCTTGTAGTAGCTACAAGATATTAAACTGTCCACATCTACTTTGCTGTTTCCCCATCCTCCCACATATACCTAAGAATGTTAATTACAGGGATCTGAATAGAATTAAATAATTTAATGACAATACAGACACTCAGGTATCTTGAATATTTTATATAAAGAATAAAAAACCATTTATGAACATCTTAACAACTTCTCCAAAGGGACCCTCCCAATTGCTCTTTATAAAACACAGTGTCAAGCTCCTATTTCCAGCTTTTCACCTCCGTCCCCCATGTGGGTTCAGAAACTCTCAAAACTATCAATGCTTTGAAATTAAACTGTGGTAAGCCTTTCAAAACCCATTATTCTGTTTTAGTTACAAGAAACTGTCCATACCTAACAAAAGCAATCTTTCCAAGAGCATACCGTGTAATCAGTGAAAACTGAAAAATATTTTCACAGAGGCAATTTCTCATGCATCTAACAACATTCCAAAGGAGCGCAGCGTTGTCCACACCAAGCTACCAAGCACAACATAGGAAAGTTTTTATTTGCACATTTTTCTGTCTCTCTCTGCAAAAAGGTACACATACATTTTATTTCCTGTATGAAAAACTTTATCAAATTAGTTGCTTAAAGTCAAACACATAAGTTCTTTCAGCTTAACTTACATCTGGGAAAAAGCAAAAATATGGATATTGTCAATATATTGAGTGGCTGGCTCTGCAAAACTGCATTGTCTCTATTGTACTTAACTTTACTCTTCAGAACATTTTTCCATCTTTCCAGGCTTGTTTCCATTCCACACTGGAGTTTTGTCTTGTTTGGCCCATGGAATTTCTGTTACCAAAATACCAAGAATGTTACTCAAGAAACCTTTCTGGCCTTTTGATACACATCAAAATGGCCAGAATTGTATTGTATTTCATGTAGACCTAGACAGTACAAAAATATGAAACAAAGGACTTAACAGCAAAGTTTTTTAAATTGCCTACTGGTTTGTCACGTGTGTATATATATATTTCCCATGTTTATATATATTTCTCATGTATATATATACACACATATATATATCTCTACAGGGAGAAACACTATATTGCCAGGAAGACCAGAAGCCCCAGCTGTAACAAAAGTTCTGAGCAATGATATGGGGAGCTTGCATTGCTTGTTAATATAAAACACGACGGAGACTACATCCTATCACAGCTGAAGATGATACTCAGGAGATGAAGCCAAAACATTGCAAAAATTTTACACAGTTCCAAGTTAAACCTGAAGGTCAATGATTAACCTCTGTCTGAAAAAGAAAGCAACATTTGGGGTTTTTTTCTGGGGATGATCTAAGTGAAAATTCAAGGTTGCTTACAGTGCAAAAAATTCTGCTGTCTCTAGAACATCCCAAGATTTGAAGCCATACAGATTACAAAGAGAATTTTGTCCTTCTGCATCTCTCAAACACAGTATTAGCCACATCTGGTACTGCTTACAGAAATGTGGGATTTAGCTGAGGGTCAGAAAGCCTCTTAATTTCCCAGGGAAATTAAGCTACAAAGGATCTTACAAAAAGTAATTATCAAAAATTACTTAGTTTCTCACTACCAGTTTTAGTTCGTTGAAACCTTCCAAAATTGCTCTTGTCACTAATGCTGGAGTGGCTGCAAGAACATCAGTTTAGATCCCTCACTGGAAACCTGGTCACTTCTCACCCAGTCTTTCAGCTCCTGGGAAGCAAATGCGATTGGATCTGACCAGGTAGATGGCCTTACAAATGGCAGAGCCATCTCGGTGAATACCAAGGGGTGGAACCCAAAGTTTGTTTGAACTAGTGCCAACTGTACTTCAAGAAATTTTGAGGTAAGGGGCTTTTAAAGAAATGCCATCTGATTGTTATTACTGAATCCACCATTTTTTAGAGGGAAGGCAGATGAGATCCTTACAGAAGAATGAAAACACAAGAGCCTCTATCTTTGCATTTTTTTCTGTACAGGTGGCACAGGAGGAAAGTAGTGATCTTGGCTGTCACCGCAGTCAATCCTCTCCTCCAGTAGCAACTCCCAGACAGACTGGATGAGCAGTGGTATTGAAGAAGGTCAGAACCTGGCCCTGAAGAGGGTCAGGAATCTAAGAACTGATAATCAGATTCATGACATCAGATTAATGGCATGAACCTTAAGACGAGAGTGGCAACCTCCCCCAGAGAGAAGAACCACCAACACCCCTTCAAAACCCTCCACAGCCATTCAGGAATAAGATCATGGTGGCTTTCATAATTCAGAGGTACTCCGTGGCTCAAACTGCCACAAAAGGACACCTGCAATAATGCTCCTGGAACTGGGAAGAGACTTATGCTGCCCCAAAGGAGGGAAAGACATTTCAAACATTCAGGTCTTATGCCACTGTCTTGATCTCCCTTATGATGGAACAGCCTTAAAAACACGTGAATTTCTCTGCCCAAAAGAGCAGAACTGTTCAGAACAAAAAGCTTTGGAAGGGATGGAGAGCAGGACGAAAAGAGCTGTACTACTGGCATGTTTGTGAAGGTTGGTACTGGAGGTCTAAACTAACACTGCACAAAGTGGGGAGCTCAGGCAACTATCAGCTTTGACAGAGGTCCCACTGATTTGCCACAAGAGCTTTTCTGATATGAAATGTGTGTCTCTTCTTACTCAGCCTGTAGATCAGTAGATGGAAGTGTGACTTGAGCAATTCATGCTCCGAATCTGATTCAGAATTTGCAGGTGGGAAAAAAAAATCCTGAAGAACCAGGAATGGTGGTACAAGCTTTCTAGAAGCCTCCATCTCATCATGCATTTGGCAGGAACTAAAAAATGGGCAAACCCACCTTCCTCTAAGAGTATAACCAAGGGAGAAAGCAAGTTTTCCTTTTCAGTGGAAGTACCCATATATACAAATGTGAAGCTACACACGAGCTATTATCAAGATACAACTAACCCTTCATCTGTGAGCAACATGTGTCTGTGAAGAAAGGTGTCCTAAGTCAGGCATATCTCAAGTGATTTTGAAGTTATTTTCATCTCAGTGCTTTTTATTGGGATCTTGCAGTAAGGAAATTAACATCTAAGGTGCACACAGATGGGTCAACATCCTCACAAGTTACTGTGAGGAAGACAAAAGGAAACATATTACTTCTACAGACTATGAAGCAATGTGGAAAATACCTCACACAAGAACAGTAGATACACTCAATCAGTGCACTTACCTATACTTATACTACACTTACACTTTCACCTGCTGGGAGAAACAAGTCAGTACTAGATTCTCTGTAAAAAAGGAGAATGTAGGTTCTGAGGCTGCAGCTTCCTCAATATCTAATGATGTCATTACAGAACATGTATATAAGTCAGTGTGACATTTATATACTTAGGGAAAAAAATTACTCTTTTTGTGCTACTATCTGCATTATCATCAATATCAGTATTTAAAAACACAACCTGAGTTTGAAACATTGCTGTCAATCTGTAAGGCACAGTCTGAACACAGTGGGAACTGCCTTTATTACTCTGTATTATTGTGAAGAATGATTGCTTTAACCATTAAAAAACAAAAGTCTTAACTATTTAATGACTACCGAAACAGCCAGACCTCCTCAGCCCATTTCATATTCTCCTGAAGCCATTTTAGAGCAGATGAAAGCTCCAGGCTGTAAACCTCTTCCATATTAACATTCATTGTCATATGCTTAAGAAGAAGCTTTGGATCAGATAAACGAGCTGCTAGAATCAGTCTCTCCACTGCCATTTGATAGACACTGTTATCCTGAACTGTCTGATCTTCACATCTGTAAGAGAATTTTCACAAATACAAAATTAGGTACCATACAGGCCTTGTGTTGCTTGCCTGACACTCTACTGGCAGCAAGATTACAGAAATATTAAAATAAATCCATGTATTCACTTCACTGATAATACATTATGTTAATTTCTAGGCAGATTTTAGATTATTATTCTGAAGAATTAAAAAGTTAGAAAAAGTATATTTTTAATATATTTTACAGTAATGAAATGTAGTAGGCTTTAATGCCAGTGCAAAGTAGCTCTGCAATATTCACAATTCATGAAAAAATATTTGTCTCTGGGCTGGAAAATTCAGTAAAGGAATGCAAACCAAAAAGGTTTAATCATTTTTGGCATGTAATCACTTTTGGAACAAAGCTGTGCCTAAGTTACATGCCTGTATTTTTTTGCAATAGCAGAACTTACTCTTTAAGAAAACAAGCAGAGGTACAGTAGCATACATATGAAAACAAGAGATAAAAACCTCCTCATTTATCAAAGGAACAAAATTAAGAGGTGTATTCCTTGGGAAGGATACAAGGAAGGAAGACAAAATACTGAAGTTTTGGAGATGCACGAGTTCATAGTTATTAACAAATGTAGCTTTTCTATGCAGTTACATTTTGACGCTGAGCCAGTCAGTCTCAGAGAAAAGTGGGTCTTGAAAAATAAAATTACAGGTATAACCTAGTGACAATGGTTGGTGGTTTACAGACAAATGGAAAAAAAAGCGACAAAACACATTTCTAATCTGCATATATTAAGACTCACAGAAAGTGGGAAAAGAAAACACTAATAAATTTAATATTGAGCTATCCCTCATAAAGAAAATTAAATAAAATGGCTTCATGCACTTTCCAAAAAACAGCCAAGAAATGTTAAGAGTTGGTTTTTGAAAGAATTAACATTTTGACTGTGCCCTTCTACTCCAGTACTTAACCACAACACAACAATCTATACAGCAAGGTATCAAGTCATCCCATTTTTGAATATACAGTACATTCTTAGTGTGGTAGACACATTCAGTTAGGAAACACAAGTCACTATCACTCTGGAACGACTATTGTTCTGCTACACACGTGTAGAAATTATAATGATAAAAAAAAAACCAATTCCGAAACAAAGATTAAAAACAAGTTTAAAACCAAGCATCCTCTTTCCTAGACAGTGGGAAATAGGATCTCTTGTTAATTACCTCATAACATGAACAATCAAAATGGTACATTTATATGACAACAAACCTTTTCAGTATTATTTGAAGAGTCTGACTAGTAGCCATTGGACTTTGAATATAACTGGCATTTGAAACAAGAAATATTTCAATGGCCAACAGCATCTCAACTTCAGACAGGTAAGATGGAATCTTCAAAAGTTTGTGGTATGAATTTCCCTGCAGCTGTGGGTAGCAACCCAATGATAAAGCAGCTGAGAATAAATGCAGAAACATGAGGAATTAGGACCACCAGTACTTAACATAGATCTGTTTTCTTGTGTGTGTGACTAAATGTGGAAAAAACCCAAACCCTTAATAGATTTTACTATTTCACCGATTCACTGTTGTAAAATGTTATTTTTTTCCATGAGTATTATCAGCTATGATTAAAAAGCTCTGACAGAACTCTGGAGACACCAAGTGTGTAATAACACAAGTACAACCTAGGGCAGGTCAGACAGAAGCTGTATTAATCATGATCAAAGTGAGAGAACATTTGAACAGCACCTCCTGCTTTTTTCCCCTAACTTCTGTTAAGTGATCCCAGCAACCCAACCTACATATACAGCATTTTAGGGGGGAAAAAAAAAAGAGAGATGAGGAAAAACTATCATTTTAAGGTTAAAAAAGAACAAGGGGGATGAACTCAAAGTAGACTGCTAACCACCACAATTCTAAGACAAAATCAAACAGTAAATAATGTGACAATGTGGAGCGACAACTCTTGGTGGACCCCAGCAGAGTGGCACACCCAGTACTATCTTAGCTCAGAAATGGGGAGTTGAAAACAATTTCTGACTATTAGCTTTTAGTTGAAAGGCATTTTCTTATAGTTAGGATAAACTTCTTAGCCAGACTTCTCAAATATTACATATTAATAATTTTAGCACCACAGCTCTAAACAGATGTATAAGGAAATATAATTTGCCTAGATGAAAAAGTGAAGATGATGCAGTTTTCAATCATTTCAAGGGTTCACATTTCTGAAAATCTGAAACTGAATATAAAAAATTAATTTTATCAAAATTACATTAACTTCATGCCAGGTAGTATGCAATGATTCTTATTTTCAACTATTTCCTAATAAATACTTTGGTTACAAATAAATTCCTGAGAGTGACACAGAAAGTACTGTTTTTCTCTTACCCATTTCTTCCCAACATACTGAGACGTTATAAGCATGTTATCCAAAGACTGTAAGGGAAGGACATTGTTTAAGAAGCCACTTACTTTTGTAATATGTCCTAGCTTTAGACCACAAAGAACTTCTTCCCAAAGCTGTGATTAATCTTCTAAGTAAAATAAAATCAATAGCAATTTTTTTTGAAAGCATGAAGTCTACTGCAGAAGATGAGACCCCAAGGCTCTTGTTCTCAAAACAGGCATTTATCAGCTTGTTAAAAAGGCAGCTGTACTGAGAAACATCTACAATATCTGAAATGAAATGAAGAATATTAACTACTGAAGTCAAATGCAAATCTAATTGAAGAATCACTTCCCAATCAGTATCTAAATGAGGACTCTTGCTTCTATCAGCAAAATGGAACATGGGATAACATGAATGCTTTTTTCATCAGAAGTCTTTTCATACACTAGTTCATTTATATTGTGAAAGAGAAGCGTTAAGGTCCAAATAACAATTTGCTGCCCAAACCAAGAGGATCAGATAAAAATACATTCACTTGCTCAAGCTTATAAATACAATCTTTACCTGATCTCTCGGGCTTAAAACTCCCACCAATAAAAATCACCTTAGTGCTTCCAGTTCTGCTTCAACTCTGAACTGTCCCTTTCCTGGCAGGACTGAGCAGCCTTGTTTGTATCCACCTCATGCCTCAAAGAATTAGATCCTTTCAGTACTCTGTAAGTAGATGGTCTTCCAACCAACCTCTCCTAACATTCCTAAAAGCACACACTGGCAACAGACTGAGACCTACACAGAGGAATCAGCTGAGGTTTCCTCAGTGGAGCTTAAGTAACTATGCATCTCATTTTGAAGTATGTGTCCAGAATTTGCAAGATAAATTGAGCCCAAAAGAGCACTTAGTTCTTAGCATGGTATGTAAAAGATGTCTAGGTTAGCTGGCTCAGTTATAGGAAAAAAAACCCCTAAGGCATTCATCTGAAATTAAGATAAAATTAATCATGCCAATTATATCCCTATTTGATTTAATTGTATAGACTCTGTATGATCCTTAAAAATTTAATGGGTCTTTCCTGTTGCCCTGTGTAATTGAGTCAATTGGAAAAAGAGGACAGGTGTATAAACATTGTGTGTGTGAGAGTGTGCGTGTGTGGCAAGAGCTGCAGAGTAAAATACGAATTTAAACTAACACAACACTCTGGAAAAAACCCAGGCTTGACTAAAACCATCTTACTTCTTCAACAAATTTTAGCTGGAAAACAGAAAGAAGAGCACAGAATCATCTGTTAAATTTTTAAGTCTTAACACACAGTACCTTTTTCTTTACTTACCAGAATGTTTTTGCAAACCTGGGAAGTTCTGCAGAACTTCAAAAGCCTGCCTGTACAAACTCTTACTCAAGTATTTGTGCACTAGGGTATGTAACAGATTGAGTCGATTGAGGATGTCCATTTTATCACAAGGCCACAATGGTGCATTTGTGGTCCACTCTGACTCTGTGGCAAACAACAGTGCAGTGTTATTTCTGTGAACTGAAACTGCTGGGCGCTGAGATTTTTGGCCATTAAGAATATACTGTAAACTGTAACATAACATAAATTTCAGATCTGCACAGAAAATGCAGTTCTAGTTATTAATAATTCATTCCTTATGACAAATGCTCTTCTGATGGATTCTCTGAACCTTTATATTGTAAAATATTGTTAAACATCACAAAAGTAAAATGGACTGTCAGTGGCACATATAAATTTGTAAATATCTATATACATCTGTAAAACTGAGTAGCAAATTTTAGATCCTAATATTAATTTATAGAACACATTCTATTCTTTATACTTCTGAGTTTCTTCTCCTTTCAGCAGATCAGAATTCCAAAAACCCGGAAATAATATGTTATTTAACTGCCGAAATATGGTACTATTCTAAAGTAATTATATTACATGGGGATACTGATAGGCATAAAGAAACACTGTATTGACCCAAGCCTGAAATTTTTTGACATTGAATGTCCCCTGGCTCAAAGGAAATCTACATGGAGCAGGCTCATTTTCCAAGCTGCACTCCTCCCTCATTACAGCAGACTTTTGTGTAGAACGGTGTTGATACCAGACTACTGCAAAAATTTTTCTGAAAAATATTATGTATTATATTATTTCTTATACATATTAAGACTACTACTAACCAGTAAGATGGATCACATTTGCTTTTGTTGTCCCAGTATTATTAACTTTATTTAGTAACACAGAGCAGCTTGTATCTTTTATCTGAAATTTGTCATAGAAGGGAATGGTTCAAATTTAAGTCAAAAGCTTACCTCTCAATACCCTTGTTGCTCCATCCAAACTTCCACAATTAAGGAAGATTTCTGCAGCTTTATTAACAATCTGACATCTTGATGCTGACCTCCCTGAACCTATAAGTCCTTTCATGAGCGTAAAAGGTATCTGTAGCTCGTGCAGTTTATCCAAAACCTTCCTTCCCTAGTGTAAGAGGGAGAAGGGAAACGGGGAAGGTCAGAGAAAGCAGTGGTATCACTGAACAAGGAGTGTATTTACACAAAATACAGCAGATTTAATTTAGTGGTATAGATTTATGGGCATCAGTTCATCTCCCCTGACTCATCTCCAAACTGAGTCAGGGGAGAAAACTTCTAAAGCAAAACTTCTAAAGAAGGGTTAAGTTTTTTTTTTTACTATGTAGGCAAAAACCCTTGACCAACCCCTCACTGAAGAGTTCCCAGCACACTATTCCCCACTATTTCTATTACATAATGTCCCTATACAGTATTTTTAATATACTTTGTAATTAATTTCTATCTGCTTAGTTAATTTTTTTATTTTTGATTCCATTCAGCACTACATAATCTGCAAAATTCTAAAAAGATCATACAGGGATTTTTCTTTTTGCAGTAGAGCTATAATTGTTAAATTGAAATCATTACTCCAACATAAGCAAAAGCAAACACTGATAGTTGTATGCAGCAGGACAATAAACTGGAAAAAGTTGGGCCTATCTGGCCAACAGTGTAACAACCAACAACTTGGTTGACTGCCAAGATTCCAGGCTGATATTCAGACTGGTTTCCTAGAGAAGCTTCGTCTTAACTTTTTCCTTGTCCTTTTCAGTCAAAACCGTAAGAAAGGTAGCAGTCTCAAAGATAATTAAGATCTGACCAATCTAAAATAGGTGATGATCAAGTCAAGGTGGGATATCACAATAATGTTCCCAGCAAGGCAAGGCCAGGCAGAATTCAGTACTTGCCCTGTCTGGCCGCATCTTGCTAGTCAAGCAACATGGACCAAGCTCCAAACTAGATGTGTTTCAGCTCGTTTAGTGGGTGCATCAATGAGGAAGCAGCTTATTAAAAATTGTGGTTTTGTGTCAGCATGCATTGCGGTGGCAGAATAAGGGTCATGAAGGTAGAGGGAAAGGGAAGTTTAGGAGAACAGAGAAGCTGACAGAAAATGAAACTCACTTATAAGAAGCTCATGATTTGAAAATGCTTTATGCGTATGTACATACATACTGCAGACTGGAATGTGCTCAAAACTGGAGACTTTCAAAGCCCTACAGGTATCTGCAATTGTTTATCTCAGCAAAACCCATAAAAATACTAGAAGTATCACTGCAGTTAGCATTTAAAGCATGAAGAACCCATTCAACTGTAGATCTATGCAGCTGAAGGGGAAACTTACATACCAGAAAGACTCAGATGAGAGCAAAACAGAAACTTGAAAATATAAGTGCAAACCAGAGACAAAATATAAAATTTAGGAGGAACTGCATCTATTCCATCCTTCTGGCAAAAGGAGGGGCCACTGAGAAGTCTTCTTTATAGGAAGATGGAAAGCATGCAGCTGTAAGCAGAGAAATGATCTATAAAGGAAGGGCACTTTAAATCCAGTTGTGGAATGAGATCCTTAATTGGACTAGAACCTCTGACCAATTCTCTGAAATAATAAAAAGCTGGAAAAAAATAAACCATAGCAAAGTCCTGCAAGATAGGAAATAGATGGAATAGGAAGTGGGTGAAATAACTGTCAAAGGAGCATTAATGTTACAGGATTCTCTACAAGTACATATCCAGAAAGCAGTCTAATGTTGCTTGAAGAGCCACTTCCATGGAAGACGTATTCACGTTTCAAATCTGCATGTTTTTTCAAAGTACATCTGTTTTATGAACCTTCCTTACCTCCTACAAAGAACGTTCTCTTCAGGACCAAGGAGCATACATATTTCCCCCCTGAGAGCCACCAATCATCAAAGCTACACAATAAAGGGGTTTGATGTTCATGAAAGAAAAGCGATCTGAAAAGCATATCTAGAGTTTCATATAGTCCAGCATATTCATAAAATGGCACAGGGCATGTCCTAAAGCACAGTATCAAGTAGATATTAGCCTCTAACCACAGGATTAGGGATTTATCTGATACATAGAATGGAGTGAAACTGGTTGGAGAATGGTAGAAATGATAGATCCCTGAAGCAGAGATCAATTTGGGACCTGCTAGTTCTGATAAAAATCATTCAGAGCAGAGCCTCATTCACATTCCCATATGGTCAGCACAGGTTGTCTATAAGACTATTTGAAGATCTTGGTCAGCAGTCCGTTGAAAAGTGGGTTTGATACCTAATGCAACATTTTCAAAGAAATCATGATCTTTTGCTCTAGACATGAAAAAAATCATAGTATTGAAAGAAGCATCTACTTTTAGTAACTCATGTTGTACAAGAAAAACACTACGCATGCTTTTGACAACTTGCACCTCTGAAATTAGGACATGAAGATGAATCTCCCTGGAATATTAGGGATTATGCAATCCAAATACCAGGATCACCCTTAAGAAGTATCTGTAAAACAGCTAAAATGTATGAATGTGTATGAACACTATATGCTGAAGAAGACAGCCAAATCCCAAGCCAAACTAAACTCTTCAATGGGCACGTGAGCACTACCACTCCTCAATGCCAAAAATTTATATCACCTCTTCTATGGTTAGGACTATCTTAACTGTTCTAACTGCTAAGTTTTGTGGAACAAAAATGCCTAAAAACGTTCTAGTGCAGTATTACGTAAGTGCTAATGCAAAGAGCCTCTCTCCTTCCCTTTACTCTTAAACAGTACCACACTGTTCTGTAGCTTGACAGGGACCTGCTAAATTCAACTCAACAAGCTGATGCTGAAAACTTAATGATTCATCAGAACAGGTGTACTGCTTCTAGACTAATCACCTCTATCAAGTATCTCCTGGGACCTGGCTTAACCATTAGCACAAAAGACAATTTAATGCTTTGAGGCGAACCAAAATGGGTTCCTTGATGATAATTCACAAAAAAAAACAACCCAAAACTTCAAGAGACAAAGGGAAGAACAAAGAGAGCATTTCCTTTTGTTCATAACAATTAATGCTGGAAATCATCTTGTATGGGATGAGGAACATCCCAGTACAGCATAATTATTAGCTGAAAGGATCAGGCCCAAGTTCAGAATTTGATCACTGAACAAAATACACTCCAAAATCGCTGGTGGTTTATATTATTTCTTATGCTGTCACTTGTCATGTTGCATTGTATAGGAGATTCTGTCTGGAATACACTGTTTCCTTCCAGGAAGAAAAAGATGAATTTAACACTGAAGTAGATATTGGTACAGTGAAATTATGACCAATACTGCATGAGGTCTAAGGAGCGTAAAACATCCAGTCAAAAGTCCAGTCTCTTAGTCCTGGCCCTTTATAATATTTGACAGCAAAGAAAGCATTGTAAAGGGTATTTCTTTGGGATGTCCAAGTTTTGCAAGATTCGCAGAATTTAGAAATTTATATTTTACCAAAGAAAAGCACTTCCAGCGGAGTTCTGAGGAACAAGCAGTTCACCAAGAGCAGGAGCAGCCTTGCTACGCTGCTTTTCTGTCTTTCTGGCCTTATCTATGCTATTTGAGGCCAGATGCAGAAGCACCAGTGCAGGAAACTGCTGAAACTTCTCTAAATATCACTTGAGTTGTGAGGTCTCAAAACGCAGCATTATTGCCAGACAGAAGAAACACACATTTCTGGGAAACAATCCCATCAGCACCTCACCCCAGAATATCAGGAAGACCGGTCTCCTAATTCAGATTCAACCTCAGCTCAGAAAAATCACAAGCCGAACCTGAACAATCAAATTCCTAGGTCGCAAGACAAAGTTATGATGGGCTCCACAGAAGCCCACTGCTCAGAAAGGCACAGTGAGATGCTTTGATCCAGCTGGACAATTAAGAAGTATTAAGATGGCAAGGAGGCAGGTGGAGCCATTCAACTAGAGAAACACAATTTAACATCTAGAAGAGAAATTACTACTTCTTTTTCTTCCCGTCAGGTTCCCACAGTCCAAGTATACCTTCATCCACTGCAGTACTTCATGATAAGAATACATCACGCTTATTCCAGTCCTCCCAATGAAAAGTCTGTCTGCTTCATTAGGTTGTGAATTTTTCATTACTGGAAAGAAAACGAAAAGCATTTTTAAAAAAATTTTACATGTAAATGCAGTTTAAAAGAAATTAAATGCTTGAAAAACACAGTTGTGAAAATATCAAATCTGTTTTCTGAAATATTTACCATTAAAAGTAGTAACTCCTTAAGTCCTAACACTGGAAGTAGGGTAAGTAACTATAGTTTATTCAGACAGTATTTCATAGTAGTCTAAGTCATCTATAAAATAATTGGACATATAATGGCATAATTTAGTAACATCATTATTTGTAAAGTAAGCTTTACATTTTCTGGTAACATGAAGAAATTTTGGTAATTGCAGAACTGAGTAATTACCAGTTTTTCCAAATGTATTGTACCACCTCTTTGGTCTCAACCCATTCAGGTGTGGGAATATTTTTTGTACCATTAGAAAATAAAAATAAATATTTTAAAATGTAGTGTTTATTTATCTTGTATTTGCAATTTCTATTTTTGTATATGCTTTCTAATGCATTTAATATATTAGCGCAGTAGTACATAAAAAATTGGGGGCGAGTGTTCAAAAATCTTTTACTGATGGAGGTGCCTATCAGTTTGGAGACCACTGCTCTAGGGAAGGCAGACTAAGTTCCAAGCTCTGCCAAAATATTCTCTCTGTGTCACAACTGGAAGCTGTGATAGCCATTTAGTAATACAGAAGTCTGTGGTCAGAAAGGTCATGTCACATATCTTGAATAAGTATTCATCATGTTTTAGTAGTTAATACAGGATGAAAAGTATCTGAGTCGTCCCTTATAAAACACTTAAATATCCCACTGACACTTCACTGAGCCTCAGTAACTTGTGAGCTTGTGAGGAAGAATGATACAGATATGCAAATGAAGGGGCACACGGAGGAAAGGGGCAACTAGAAGGTGTTTTGTGGACAGCACTTGGAGAAACTCTTGGTTCTTTAGAGAATACTTCTAAAAATCCAAATTACTAAGGAAAAGCTATAAATTATGTATATGATGTAACCCTGTTCAAGGTGTTTTAAAATACACGACTATATATATATATTGACAACTCTAAAGTTTATTTACGCTATTAATAGTGTGACACTTCACATGACAATACTTAAATACATTGGCCTTTGTCTTGAGTACAGGTCATTCTTATTAAAAGACCACAAATTTTGGGTTCTCTTCTTGATTTCACAAAGATCAAGTGTTCCTCCTTCAGAATTTTCTTTTGACTTTAAGTGTAAGCTCTGTGGATTTTACTTCTAGTAGAAAATGGCTTCTACTGAACATTACAGCTGATTGCATCTGCAACTCAAGAAATTCTGAACACTGTAACATAAAATTAACTAATAATCATAAAACTATACAAAATATTTTTTTCCCTCTTTTAAAACTCTTCTACAAAGAAAAGGGATGAACAAAAAGCATTTATTGTATCTTAATTTTACCTGCATCAGCAAAATCACAGAAAGGAACTTCTGGTCTGTCTGACTCAGAATCTTTGGTTAGTATTTCAGCAATAGATAAAAATAATTTCTGAAAATCCTCAAAACATTCACATCCAGTTCTTGCATTAAGATACAAAGTTCCCAGCTTGGTCCAATCCCTTTTTTCCTTACAATGCTGTGAAGAGGGCAAGGGATAAAGATAAGCAAACCTGCTTCCAGAACACCAAACAGAAAATATATTAAAATTTGAGAGATACACGTGGGATAGACTAAAGCAGAAAAAAGATGGAGATGAAATGGTACTGCCAAGAAACCTTCATGTTCATATGGCACAGTTTCACGTTGCCTAACTTGCATGGACTACTAATTACTTCTGTCCCTCAAGAAATAAAATTTCTTTTTTCATGTCATGACCCCAACTGAGGAAGGTCATAACTTATGCATCTTATTTAAGAACTGGTATTCATCCAGTATTTACTATCCTTTTTTTTTGACATGATGCACACCGGATTTATGGTTATTTTCTATATGAGTCAGTCGTTTGCTTGTCAGATCACTTGGTAACTTTGGTGCTGAAGGAGTAAAAGAAGGTTCTTCCCTTCTTATATTTCAGTGTCTGGATTTGAGCACTATGTGTGATAATATGTAAACCATAATTGAGCATAATAAGTAATCTGACCTTGAATATAAAACACACAAGTGTCCAAATAAAGAATGTTTTACAGTATTTTCTTATTCTTTAAAATTCCTGCTTAGTGTTGTCAAATGCAGCCTTTGACAATTGTGTGTTTTTATACTAGATGTGAATTCTATCTGCTAAATAATATAAATAAATTTTTGGTGAGGAATGATGCACCACTACCAACTACAAGCATAACAAACGTAAGGCATAGGAAATAATTGCTTAAAGTTATAAAATCTTTAAATTAGATGCAAAACCAAGATATAAACTACAAGTATGTAAATTAAAATACTGACATCACAGAAAAGCCAAAGACAGTATTCCCTTGCATGTGAAGCCTTCCCAAACATGGCTTTACATAAAAGCATTTGATCATAAGCTCAATATAATCAATAATAAAGCCCACTAATTTAGAAAGGTGTAGAAATTGCTATTTCTTGTACGTTTCAAAGGCATAGTTTAAGTATTCCAACAAGTCTGAAGAATGCACATACTGTACCTGAATTTCATCTGCTGCTAAGTTGAAATCAAAAAGCCAGTTCTTTTCAAAATGGTGTCTTTCTCTAAATCTTCCATATGAAAAAAATATTAATACGTAATTATAACACACCCTATTGAACTAAATTATGCACTAGCAGAAGAGAAACAACAAAAGACCATATATGAACAATAAACTGATCTGATTTTTGATTCTGTTTACTTCACATTATGCAAACTGCACACTGAAAACACTCATTTACAATCTTGCCAAGGGAAGACAGTAAATGTATTAAACAAATAATTGAGCAGAGCTAGTTTTACAGAATATATTCCCTTGTCTCAGTTGAAGTGTAACTGAAAAGGTACAAATAAGACTTGCAAATCCAGTAAGTAAGCACAGAACTGTATTGCATGTATTTCTGACATAAAATGACAACTGCAAGTCACATTCAAATACCTAGGGGCACAACACTTTATTCTGATGCCACCACTGAAACGATGGATACATCTACTCAGTGCGATGCTACGACGTAGAGAGGCATAACCTACACAGGGCATGTGCTAACACATGTAACTGAAGTAGCACAGGTGCTCAGTCTTCATAGATACAGACCATTTCTCACCTTCAGCTGAACTCACATACATACTGAGGCAACCTGGAAGAAGTCATTACTTTGTGAATCAGATTCCCGATACAAAAAGTGATTAAAATGACCTCCAGCATTTGTGGTAAATTGCACAGGTAAAAAACAGAGATCCATGGTTGAAAGTACTCTGGGAAAACTATGCAAAAGCAGAAAATAATTTCTACAGTTCTTTCAGTTGGAACAGTGGTGGCTTGTTTTCAGATAGTAGATGCTGCATATTTGGTCTCCTCTAAGAATCAAAGGTATGTTTATGAATCACAAATTTAGTTTCTCAGTTTGCATGTGTGTATACGATGCAGATGATACAAAAAAGAAGGATCACAATCTTGTTCAAGCGAAGTGGAGGTATCAACAGTTTTGGAACAGATTTGACATTTTGCCCAGCATAATCCAGCAGTACTTAAAAATGATCCTCCTCCCTAGCAGTGTTGGCACATAACTCCCTAGCAGTTATGGCACACCATAAAGGAAGCTAGAAAACTACTTCAGATTGTAACTAATCCTCGTATTGTCTAGAAGGGTTATTTTTTGCAGAAGTACTGTTTGCTTATGTGGGCATAAATGTTATATTAAACCATGATGTTTTGAATTTGACTAGTTATATAAGCCTGTAGCACAGCAGGGAGCAGATTGTACAATGACGGTTGATATGGAAAAAAAACAATAATCAGAATCTAAGTTTTGACTTAACGTTCCTTGATCTTTGAAGCACAGTAGATTGACACCACTTTAAATACAATTAGGCATGATACGACAGTATTTTATCTCAAAACATCTTTTAAAGATTTTACGTAAATTTATAAAAATAGAATCTAAAGCAGAAACTAGACAGATATAATTAGAAAAACAGTTCCTTAAAGACATACCTGGATTTTATGTTCAAAACAATGCTTATTTCCCAACTAGAAACTTGCAATTGGTGAAGTAACTTAACAATATAGTCAAAATGGTCTAACTCAAGGAACATACCAGCATCAACGAGCTGTAATATCAAAAAAAGTAAGAAAAGTAAACATACAAAAAATTGTGATCACTTAACACATTTTCAGAGGTAAGTGGCAAACAACATTGGGAAAAACATGTCACAGTGAATCTTACTCAAAAAAGAATGGATTAAATAAAAACCCGTACAACCAATTCAGCTACTCACAATAACACTTTTAAATATTACTTCAGTACAATTTTTTTAAAGTAATATGTTAGAGTTTTAAAACAGGGAAAGTATTTCAGAAATTCCAACAAGTAGCAGTAGTACAAACTCATACCTTACGAAAGGTACGGATTAATGTAGGCACAGCATCTCTTAAATTCAAAGAAGCCACTTGCTCAAAAACTTTCAGAAGAACATCTGTAGTTGGCTAATTTAAACAACAAAAAAAAAAGCACAATCAGTTTTGCAATTCTGTTCAGTAATGAAGCTTAGAGATTTTATAATGGGAACTTTTGAACTGCTCCCCTCACCCAAGATTTGAGTACCAGAGTAAACCCAAACTTATTAATACAAATGGCATAATACTCAAACTTGGAGTGTGGAGAAACTACGGAACAAAGATTTAAAAATATTCCAAAGTCACCTACCAGTGTCTTGATTTCCACGGTTACATTCAATATCCAAAATACCTCCTGCAACAAACAGTTCTTGAGCAGAGCAACAAGAAGATCATTCAACACTTGAGAAGCAAAATCCACACCAGGAATAACTCCTCTGTAATACCGCACAAATATTTGGACTGAAAAAGCAATTAAATTAATTTCACTTTGGGGTAACTGATGCTAACTATTTAAGCAAGTTATTTCCTTACATTTTAAATGCAGTGTAACAACCCTTAATTATCCAAGATATTATGGGACAGGGATATGGAGAAAAATGTGTGAAGGGATCCAGTTTGAATACAGTGTTAACCTTACTAGACCCAGACTGACTATTCTGAAATACCTCATATAATTGAACTGAACACTGCAAGCCCTGTAGATTTCAAGAAAGTTTAGCTGATTTGGTGCAGCGCAAGAAGAATGCACAAAATCAGGTCAGATTTAGTATGTGCATCAAGGCAGTAAGGCCTTTCCAGACATGAAGCTCTAGAAAGTGAAGTGCAGTGTTATGGTGGATGGTTTTACAACCTGTTGCACAGCTAGCTTTCCTTGACAGACACGTACCATAGCTTGCTGGTACACAGTGTTTGCCACATTCAAACACTCAATATTTTAACATGGGAACAATACAGCACTGGGTGCAACTGAGTCCTCCGTTCACATTCTGCTACACCCCGAGAAGCTCTCAAAAACTTAAGACTGCTCAAGACAGGTACAAAAGGAATCACTGTCCAGAGTGAAAAAAACCCAAACCAAAACAAAGTCCTTTCTGACTGAACTCAAAAGCTCAGATGGATCTGCACCAATTGCAGTTCTTAAAATGGGTTAATCATAATTGCCTGCATATATGGTATTATGTAAGGACTAAACTAAAGCCATTTGGGTGCAGTAGCAATACTTCCAAGAGCTTCATTCTAAAGGTTTTGGGTTTGTGATGTTTGGCCAGGGTGTTCAAAAGCACCTTAACAAAATTTGAGTTCTGTTAAACATCCCCCCTGCCCCAGTCATGCATTTCTACTCTCAAATCTAGTTACAGTCAGGCTAAGTTCATTTTCTGTGGAAGTAAGTTTCTAACAACCTCCTGAGATAACTGTGTATAGCCTGACTGGGAAATTTAAACATGACAATGCAGGGATTGAACATATTCATTTGAAATAGGAACTTCTTATTCACTGTTGAAGAGGTAACCATTTCTCTCTCGACAACCTATTTTATTTGCTTTAAATAAGCTAAGTATCAAAGATACATCAACAGCTACTACTATACCATACCTGCACGTTTTAGGAGGCCTGGTTCTTTGATTTTAATGTATGTCCTAAGAATTGCCATGCAAATCTAGGAACAACAACAAAAAAAAAGGCAAAAAAACCTATAATGAAATGTTACCTCAGTTTATGCCAAACAAAAGAACTACTCACAAACATGACTTCTATTATGAAATGAGCTTTACACTGAAAATGCAGTTACTTCAAGATTACTATTAATGTGGCAGACTGTAAACAAACAGAAAAAGGGAAGCAGAAAGGTTAAAGTGAAACGTGGTAAGAAAAATTACATGGAACATAGCAACTAAGAAGTCAAAAAATCATCCAGATATGAAGACTGTAACACTGATTATCACAAAGAATCACTTATAAGGACACAGAACAAAAAACTCACTAACTTCATTTAATGAACCGTTTCACCCCACACCCACTTAATTAAGAAAAAAAAAAAGTCCACATGAGTTATTTGGTACTGGAACATTCTGTCAGCTTTGTGATACTTACACATTTTGCTCTACCTCTGCAGATGTAGAAAAAAAGACTAATATGTTTAAATCTTAGAATTCCAAGTTAGGGAAAAAACCCACCCACCCTTTCAGATATCCTCTGTCACTTCTGGAACATTACAGTCTTTCTGCACAACAATGTAAATAGGTCATATTTAATACTATTTTGTGAAATAATGAAAAATCAAGAGACAGGGAATGTCCTAAATTAGTAGTCATGTTATTAGAAAATTGAGTCAGGTTTATTTTTACACGCAACTTAAAAATTACAGAGGATCCCCTCATGGAGTTTGTTACACAGCAAATGATCTATCATCAAAGCTAAAGACACTGGCTTGTGGCCAAGACACCTTTCTTTTTTTAAAACCATTAACCTGTTCAGATCATCAAGCCCAAGAACACAAAAACTGTACGTCTAAGTATGTTAAATATAAATCTTATTGTTTTTACTTTGAAACAGTATCATAATGTTATTGAACTACAGTCCAAGATACACCTTTCAGAAAATCATGTCATCATTAATATACGTGAAGTGTGACTTGACAGTGGGTTAACTCATTTAATCCAAATCTATAATCCCAGGTGGCTCAGGGCATTTCCAAAACAAACTTTCATAAATGCTTATAGTACGGAAATTAGTTTGCTTTCTTTTGGAAGCTGTTTTTCTCTTTCCTTGGACTGACTCCCAAAAAAAGCCAAGATTGCATCTGGAGCTCTGACTGTTCCAAGTATTAGTGAAATTGCCTGGAAAACCCACTTGTAGTAGTATTTAATCATGGGACATGTTATATTACATTAGTAAAAGAAACTAAATGTGTTATTCCTTTCCAGCTTCTAGAAGGCTTCAGTTGATTTAGCTGTTTCAATTTTAAAACATATAACTGCACATACAGACCATGCAAAAATCTGAGAATCTCTAAATTTTGAGTTAACTGTAATAGATTTTGAATGAAGGTACATGAAAGAGATGATTCATATTTTCAAAAGGTAGTATAAATCCCACTCTTCTGTCACCTATCAGTTGATTCCATGACTTGTTCAACATGACAATTTAATAAAAACTATAATAAAAGACTGTGTATCTTATACAAGCAACCAGCTGTCCAGTAAAACACAGTCCTACCACAGTAACACAGAGGTGCTTATTCAGAAGAACAAACACAGGAATGTATGAAATCCTTCAGCATCTTCCAGCCAGTGTACACTCTGATGTCTAATAAGGGAGAAAACCTCATGCTGCAGCCTTTTGCTCAGTGAGATCAAAACCATGATCCTTTTTACAGGCGATTCTGTTTATGAACCCTGTGTAATCTTTAGGATGCACAGTCCCTACTAAATGTGGCTGAAACCAATCAACAAGTTCAAAAGTCATTTAATGGTTGTTAGAGACAGTAACAGAAGGACAGTGTAAAGTCTAATTTCTTTAAAAATCCAGATAAAAAAAACTAAACCAAACCCCCACCACAACAGAAGGATATACTCAAGGTCCCAAAGCTGCAAGACAACACTAATGAAGACAGCAGTCTTGCTATTTTATATGCTGTTTGCTTCCAGTTAGAGGTTCATATGATCAAAGAAAAAGCAAGTAAGAAGCCACAAAAAGTAATAATTTCTTTAGTGGATACAAGTCAAAATAAATGAGTAAGGTGCACAAAGCTAAAATAAAATGAGAGAGAAAAATACAGTTTGCATAAAGACATGTTTTCAAACCACTTATTTAACCATGTGATTATTATCTGTGCTACACTCTGAAGTGCCTTTTGAGCAAAACAATTTACTGTATTATGCCCACTGTCTCTTGCCCTTTCACTGTGCACCGCTGAGAAGAGCCCAGCTTCATCTTCTTTATCCTCTCTCCATCAGACACTGATTCATATTGTTAAGATCTGCCCTCCCTTCAAATACTTCATAGAGTATTTAAAACACAGTCTTAATAGTTTTGTTTACTTTGCCTAGTACAGAAGAGATTTCACTGTTTGAAATTAAAGGCATCTTAAAAAAAAACACAAACAAACCCAAAACCAGTAACTTGTACAACTTGCTGAGCAAAAGAGTACGCTGATTTTCAAACCATATGATGTTTTTATAAATTAAATCACTGCTGTGTTGTGTGATCAATCTCAGCTATAAAGTGTTAAATACTAGGAAGTTACACCTTAAAGCATCAACTATTTACCTAATGAAAAGGAAAGAATATCCATTATGGGGAAAGGTACTTCTCTTCAAAAACTCCAGTAACAATCATCACTGGAAACAAAGCATTAAGCAAGTGGACTACCAGTCTGCACAGCAGTCCCTGGAGAGATGTATTTCTCCTCTATATGACTGGATGACTTTTTTACTTTACCTGTTTTCCACTGATGTACTTTGGTGCCACCATGAGGTGCTTGGCCTATTATCGTTTTGAAATGGACAGGTCTATAAATATAAATAAATATAAACCAAACAAAACTCAAAGTATACTTTCAGACTACCAGTAAAGTTTGGCTAGGTTTGGTGGGCAGAACAGCAAAATTGTGCTGGACTGCTGCACCACCAGTAAAATTAAATGGAATGGATTTTTACTAGTTTGGGGCAAATAATTCTTTAAGGTGGCTGTATATAATGAAGCATTACAAACCACATTAATTCACATAAACTAGCTGAAAATTACTAATATTCACTACAGCCTGCCGAAGATACTTCAAAATTGAGGAAAAGGGAAAATGTCCCATACAAAACTACTCTCAAATTATCTTACTATCTTTAAGATGTAATATAAATTTTCAGAGGGTTTACAAAGCATTAGCAGAAAGTAAAGCAGCTTTTCCAGACATAGAAAGGAACAGAGAAAACATCAAGAAAAATAAAATTGAATTACACTGATGTATTTTAAAAATTCTGATGCAGAAGATGGATAAGCTTCTTTAGATGTTACTTTTTTTTAGTAATTATGTCTAACAGGTTCAATACAAGTTACTTTTTACATTTTGATTCTGAAATGTCTTACTGACACTAATGATGAAACTGCACTCATACCAAGAAGACGGCAGATAAGAAATATATCTTGTAAGGTCTGATGAGGACAAGTTTAGGCATTTTTCTTTGTTCATCTGTTTTGACATTTTTGTTTGCTTCCAAGTGACTTACAAAACCACCTGAGTCTTGGTTTCATACAGCCAATTCCAAAATCTTATTACATGACTGCATGATTAGCTTGCCTTGCACAGTTCTTGGAATTATTACAGACTCACAATGTCTCTGTTAAAAAGTTTGAAAACATATCTACTTTGCCCATCACTGGAAAACTATTTTTGCTTGCAAATATTATGTGAATTGTTGCTCCATTTAAAGAGATTACAGCACCTTTAAACAAACATGCCCATACTGCAAAAAACATGCAGGAAGTCATATACCATGGATAGCTTTTGACAATACATACAAAGTCTCTGCAAAGGTTTGCTGAAAGTCTCTGATGCTCAGGATAGAAATGTCTCAGAATCTGTGCAATCTACTACTCTATATCTGCACAACCTAGTTCTTGCTCTTTTGCTGATGACTGTTCTCTTTAAAAGTCTGCTAGCTCAAAATTGTACCATGCTTTAAAAAAATAACTTAAGAGACCTTGAGAGAAAGGTTTTCTGGACATTTTTTTCATTCATCAATCTCTGAAGTTTATTCCCTTTCCATATATAAATAAACAAAGGAGATTATGTTTTGCATTTAAAGTGTTCACACTTACAACCTGTTCCTAACTTCAACAAAACCTGTTACCTTTTCATCCCCTTGTTCCGGGACATGGCAGAACCGACATCTTGCTCTTGTGCACCCACGTGAAGTCATGAAATAGTATCTGCAGTATTTACGGGGCAAGTCAAGTGCATCGAGGATCTGTTGGACTGAATGAGAAGCCTGAAATAAAATAAAGTTGCAACAAGCTGAAGAGAACAAACAAGTAGTACTTTTTGAAAGCAAACATGCTCTTTTTTTTCTGAGAATTTCAAAATAACTACAAATTATAAAGAAAAGCAAAAAATGTGGGATCTATAATTAAACCTCTGAAACAATCCTCATGTCTATATTGTCCTTGCAGCATTTCAAAGGGGACAAAGATCAATCTTGTCATGTCGTGTTAATGTTTAACACAAAAAAAGCCTGTCCTGAAGACCACAGACAGGGACAATGCAAAAACTGCTAAATGAGATGGCCAAAAAGTAGAGAGGAGGAAGAAAGAGAAAGGTGACAAGCTCCTGCATGGCTCTGAGTAGCAGCCTGAGAATTCCGGGGCATCAATTCCCTTTACCCTTTTTCAGTGCCCAGCATGATGGATAATGCAGGCTGTCTTAAACATGTGAAACCTTGTCTGCTTTTCAGTTCTATAAAAAATGATAAAGTAATAAGCATTTTTAAATTTTGCTTAAGCTAAAAGTAAAATCAAGAAATTGAAGAGTTCTCCCATCATCACCGATTTTGTTCTCAGAAACTGTATTTGCTCAGTGACAATATCTTTAAGGTGCAGAAACATAAACTCACATAGATTCATAACTTCTGACTCGATATATGGAGAACTGTCTGAATATTCATAAGAAATTTAGTGCCAAAGGATCAGAAATCAAAGACTTAATAACTCACAGTTGCATTTTTCTCCATCCTCCATGGCTCAAGATCTCCAAAATTCTTCAATGTCTGTAAAGGACTTTTTCCTGACGGTTTGTAAACTAAAAGTTAGGATGAGGGCAATAAATGGATCACATAATAAAAACGAATCATACTGAAACCACTCCAATTTATCATATTTTCCTTTATATTTACAGTTCCTTCAAGTCACAGCAATGATTAATGGAAATTTGATTAATACAGTCTAAAGCCAGTAATTTAAGTTACAGTTTTCTTAATTATCCCAGAAGTGAGACTTTACACAAACTTCAAGAGTAAGCACATTTAGTTTAAAAACTTCACTGTTTTATCCAAGGTTCCTAGTCTCTAACTTATAGAGATAAGAAATGGAATAAAAATATCCAGAAGTTTAAATTTCAAAAGGAAAAATAACCCACCCACTTTATCAGTAATCTTTGTGTTCCAACATCACTAGCCATAAATTTAAACTTTTTTTTCAGAATTGAAAGAAAACCTTTCATATTCTTATGTTTTAAGCAGAGCAGCAGCAATCTTAAGCCCAATGAAAATTACTGGTTTCTTTACCATGAAACTTGGTTTTATAACTTTAATTATTATTGAATAACAGATTTTTTTCTTTGAAAAATGAATAATGTTAATGGAAGATAAAAGTTCAAATTTTCAACTCCATATCTAAAGAGAAATAAGAGCTTTTGAAAGCCTTGCTTTCTAGGGTTTCCATCTAGCCCCTCCAAAGGAATGGCTGTTCAAAAGACAGGGTGCTTAGCCCTTTCTGACAAACTATAGTTACTAAAGAGCATGAAATAATGAATGTTCTACTAGAGACTTGCACTAGGTACATGGTTCTTATTCTGCATGTCTTTCTAAACAGATAGGGCTATCCCAGGATAGGAAGGAGAAACCTAAGGTTGAATAATTAAATATTTAATGTTACATACTGTCACAGTTGCAAAACTTTGTGCAGTGATGGAGGGCAATTTGATAAATTCAGGATTGGATACGGTTAGTGATAAGAAAGACCAAGAAAACAGCCAACCACTAGCTGCAGAAAAACAGCACTAGGAACTTGATCTCAGAAGTCTTTCCTACAGATTCTTGCCATCCCCAAAGCATAGAGTTTCTGATCAGGTCCCTTCTAGAGTTTGTACTCTCCTTGCTGACTGTAGGTCACACTTGTAGGGAAGATGGTACTAAAGTGAAATAGTCAATCCTGCCTGCAGAGTTCTGGGAATAAATGACTGTTTTGCCCTGTCCTAGCACAGGAACTCTTGCTTTGGCAACTGTTTTGAATGATTTTAAGACAGAAGATTTAGAAGAACTCTTCTGAAGATGTATACATTTTAAGGCCAAAGACACGAGCAGTTTCAAACAACTCTGGAGTCTGAAGAAGTATTTCACAGTTGCTTTTTATAGCATGTTTCTTTGCACTTCCTGAAAATATTGTTAAATGACATGACGATAAAATCGTTCTACAAGCTCAGACTAGCATCAGAATTTGAAACTAAGCAAGAATCTCTGTCACTGATCTTAACTCAGGAAATCCATGTTTATAAATATCTATATTAATCAATAATTCTAAAAACATTAATTCCCAAAGCAGCTGTTGCAAAGGAACAGAATACAGTACCTATCCATAAGTAATCAATTCCTGGTTTTCTCTATCTTGTACGCCAAATAAACCATGCATTTCTGTAAAGCTAAATGTCAGATTTGTTATGTGCAGTGACTACAGTTCCATTACATTATGATTTCCCTGGTGGCAGAGATGCTGAAGAGGTATCTGTCCCAGGTGTGAAATATACTGAACATGAAGTGCTATTTATTAAATCTACGTAATTTCCTTGATCCAGCCTAGTACATGCCTCACAAACATTTGAATTGGCATAAACAACAAAATTCTGACCTTCAGCAAAGTGGGTAAATCACTTTAGCAAGTTTAGTTAACAACAACCAACCAAGACGACCTGCAGTCATGTTCTCTGACCAAACAGAGAAAAACAAGTTACCTGCTGATGACATGGCTCAAACATCACGCATCAAACTACTAAGAACACAGGTGTTGCTGTACTATTAAAGTATCGGACAACCATAAATATGACTGCTATTTGACCCTACCAAATAGAATTCTGCTAAAAACCAAACCAAAAACCCCTCACTAACCTATCATATGAGAGCTTGCAGTTTTGCTTTTATATATGCAATCTAAAATTCCAGCCAACACCTTCAGGAAATGAAGACTATCCGTATTATAAGTAAATAAAGCACATGAAAAAATAAATTCTGGAGGGTTCAACAATACAGCATACAATACCATTTGTCCAGGATTTCATCACTGTAGCTTCACTGAAGATATTTACTTTCGGGTCATTCAGTGGTGATCCTGATAGCAATTCACAGTTCACAAGATCTTTGTATTTACAGTCACTGTTGAGTATTAAAAAAAATTTTAAAAATTCTTTAAGTAAACAGGTGCTTCTCTCATATACTGTATGCCTAAAAAGACAGATTAAGTATATAAAACATGAGAATTTCTTCCACAATTTATACAACACTTCAAAACTTGCTGTAAATTTAAAAAGCTAGCAGTCCCAGCAACTTGACTTTCATTACTCACATTGCCTGGTCCGATATGATTATCATCTTAGCTCATATTGTTCTGTCCTGAAGCATAATCATATGAAATTCAATAAATAAGTAGAAAAGGCACCCATGTACCACTTTCGGGTTTTGTTTTTTGTTGTTTGTTTTGTTTTTTTTTTTCCCCACTATGCTGACAGGAAGACTGAGATGATTTCTGTCATCTCTGAAGAAGCTGTTTACCATAGTCTGTTATGTAATATCTGCCAAAGAAGTAAACCACAAAGCTTTTCAAATTACATTTGAAGAGCCGACTGTTTTCTTTTCTAAAACCTGATTTTACTGGGCAGAAGATTTAGGTGATTTCAAAGGGAACTCCAATTCAGGACTGTTCTGCCTTTAACTATCCCAAATCCCAGTTCATTCCAGATAATTAAACTGCTAAAATGTGACACTTTCAAAAATAATCAAAAAATATTGTTAGCCAAATACTTGGTATTCTCTTTCTTATTTGGAAACAAAGCCACAGGAAAAAAATCATCCCCTTTCATGAGTTCTTCCTCCCCTCCCCCTTTCAATTAAGAATCCTGGTCCAGTACAAAGGACATTTCACTCTGCTTGCCTCTCTATAGAGACAGAAGCAGAGTTGCTATCCCCTATGAGGGGCACATTCTAGCTATTTACACAGCCAAGATAATTTGAATTGTTCCTAAAGTGCAGGCTGTTTTTAATAAATTTGAAATGAAAATGCTGTGGCAGAGAAGACGAAATTCCATCTAATAAACCCAAATTCTTCAGGATCAGTCTTTATTTTTAAATGCGTTGGGTTGGTTTCCAGAGGGGAAAAAAAAATCTGCAGATTTAGTTACTCAGAAATTTCAAGTTACCATGTAAATTTTTTTTTTTATACTTCCTTGTGATGCCAGCCTCAGGTCTGACAGCAGGATTTTCATAGTAACTTACCTTCAGGACAACAATCTCAGGTCTCTTTTTAATCTAGACATGAAACTACATACAATTTTGCCATGGATTGTAAACTATATAGCTCTGCAATCAATTTATTTTTTTAAGTAACAGCATCACTAGAAGTGAAGTTTGCTAAGTAAGAACAGCAACTCTGTTTTCTTCTACATGAAACTCTGCAATGGTAACATTTTTGAGTAAAACTGGAGAAAATAGTTTGAGTCCAAATGAAGGCCTCTTCTTTAACCACACAGAGTGCTGCATTTCAACTAAAGTAGTGAAGTAATGCAGAATCACTTGCACAAACATATTTTAATCAGCATAATCTTCTTATTCTATAGCATAAAGAAGGTAAATTCAAACAATATTTTACCAGGAGGAGGAGTTTGGAGCTCTCTAGTGGATTAATGAAAACATGCAGTATTCTCCACTAACAGACTTCTTTCTGGTACACCTCACACCTCTCACAGATTGTGACTGGCGTTGGAAAAAAACCAATACTCTCTCTGTCACCTAAGGTTTCTTGATTATTTTGAAAATTACTCTGTGTCCTGGTTCTGGTCAGGACAGGGTTAACTTTTGCAGTAGAAAAACTGTATGAAATACTGACGGTGTTTTGGTAAAAACATCATGTTTTGTTTGTACAGTAACTAGGGAACACCACAGGTTACATGAAGGACATTATATATACCTTTTTTCAGCTTCACTCTTTTTTTCTTGTTTAACATCAGGCACTCCATCTGCAAACTTGAACTGTGAAGATATCTAGAAGTTATTTTCAGGTACAGCCAAGCACTACTAAGCTTGTTATGCTTTACTCTACAGACTTAAAACTGTTAGTGATTATTGAAAGGTGTGATAATATAGCCTTGACTGTAGAACTGTAATTTGGATTGTAGGGTTAGTCTTACAACATGTTTTAAAATGGACATATTGCCATTATGCTCTTGATCTTTAAAATGGTGACTGCTAATTGGAAAAAAAGCGATGTGACCATCTTGACTTCTCTGCTCCCACCGATAATCCCAGAAATCTTTAGGCCTACTGCCCAATTTTAACTGCGCCTGACAGATGCGCAGAAACCCACCAAAGACTTCATCAAGAAACCCACTTCATCAAGTTTGATGAAATTTAAAGCTGTACCAGGGAGGAATTTAAGGCTTTTGCTCAGCTATATACCATGTTGTATAGTTAAAAAATCCCCAATGATATGGAGAAAATAGACAGCGCCAAATATATTTGGGGGTGAGAATTTGAAAGGACTAATACAGAACAAAGTCATGGAATCCTGGCTTTGTTTTGTTCATTACTCATGGAAGTAACTGGAACTTCACAATCTATCACAAATTTATGACAGTCAAAGAATTAGACATAGATGCACTCTCATCAGATTTCCAAACTTCATTTTAGCAGTTCCCCAAATGTTTATAGCACTTTCTCCACGGTTAGTCTTTGTCCTTCTCACAGGATTATCAATTGGAAAAGCCATCAAAAAAGCAAAATACAAAAATCACCCCAAATGGTAGAGTACTTGCAACAAGTGTTCTGCCACTGCATTCCCTGCCCAAGTCGGCACAGCTAGTTTTCTGTCCACATACAGAACAGCAGGACACTGATTTTATAAAGACAACACTATGAAGCAGCCCAGCTGGGACTGACCTGGCAATACTGCAACAAGTACTACACCTTCAGCAAACTATACTATCTGACAGACCCTTTCAGATTCTCTAAGAGATCAAGGAACAAAGTGGTGCTGTTAACTTTGTGAATCAGATGTTAGCAGCCCAAATTCCATTCACTGAAGGAAATGTTTCTATTCTTCTAAATAATGATTTTGAAAAGGAGATAGATTCTCTTCTGTTTGATTAACTGATTACTTATCAATTTTTAACCATGTGAATTTTAACTTACCCAGTATAAACCATTATCCACTCTTGAAGCAGTGGAAAACAGTAACTGCTATCAGCAGCTATGTCTGAGTGGCAGAGAGATGTAAATTCCAATCCCTTATTAAAGAAGTAAACACTATAAAACTTCAGCAAGTATTAAAAGACTTAGACTTATTATTTAGAAGGAGGAGGACAGAGACAGTAGAAAGGTCAGATAAAGTCAGTAAGCATGAAAATGTCTTAACATTCCCTTCTGAACTGCCAGGAAGTCAGTATGTTAATACAATGGCCCCTTTGCCCATGTAATGAGGCACAGAAGGATCGACCTTGGAAGCATGATGGCTGTGCAGCTCCCCAGCTTTCCAACACCATGCCATTCTTCACAGATTATGTGGTGAGAAGCATTTAACAGCAACTTTTAAAACTAGATATGTCATGTAAAATGTCACATGCACAGGAGTACTCTTAGGTGTTCACTGGAACAGTAATTTTCATACTGTTGCTGGTACAGCATTAACAACTGATATAACAATATCCTGTTTCATTTCAAATGTGAACATGAATTATTAGTAACAACAAAAAAATCAAGCACAAATTACATTGTCAATGGCACAGAAATCTATGAAATGCTAATATTCTTTTTATTACAGGAAATTAAGAATTTTGTTGATAAAACAACATTAGTAATTGAAATTACCCAATTATGTGGACTGCAATTTCTTAAACTATTTAAGGAGAGAAAGTATAATTTCTCAGTACCTTTTCATTCACATCAAAACTCTTCAAAAGTTCATCCAGTTCACTTGGTTGCCCATCTTTCAGAAAGTCCTCAGTAACATCTCCCAAAGGACTGCTTCCTCTGGAGGAGTTGTGCGTTTTAATATCTTCAGCTAAAAATGTATAAACACATTGCTTTATGTGTTTCCCATGCTAAATACTACAAAGTCTGACATTTAAGAACTCCTAGGACTTCCTAAGTGTGAAATTTATAAGGAAAAATAGTTCACGTTTAAGACAGGAACCATTTCAAATAAATATTAAGCTGAATCTACAATTAAAATTCTATCCAGGCTGTATGTACTATAATGGTCCCTGTAGAACAGTACAACAGGTTTATTTATAGAATATTGAATTCAGTATTTTAGAAATAAATTCAGTTAAGCTTTTTTATTAGAACCCAGCCAAAGATATGTGTTTGGTAATTTGCTATGCAAAAAGACTTAGCCTTTGCTAGAAAAGGGCATAAGTTAATCGTAATGATACGATGCTCTGAGAAACTCCAAATTCCTGTAATATTGTAAACTCAATAAGAATTCAGTGTCAGGAAATTTCAGCACCTTTTGCAGATGCCACAGGAAATTAATAGAACACCTGACTGCAACTTCCTGAAGCAGCTGTTTATGTACAACAGCAGAGTTCTGCACAGAAAAGAAATTCACATGAATTAAATTTCAACTGCACTGCATTGTCCAGATGCAGGAAGAAAGAATCAGATTAATACTGGAAAGGTTTCTGTCTTATAGTGACTGATCTCTGTATGATCACCAGTACAAGACACATCTGGCAAAAGACAACGTACATAAGATTTCCACTTGCAAGGTAAAGAGGATTGATGTCATCCTGAGTACTTTAATGGTAGCATTTTTTCCCTGCTTAGATGGTGAAGCCACTGAAGCATGCAGCCATGACCTCACTAAGTAACACGACACCAGAACAGTAACTTGTTTTATTTACAAAGCAGTAAATAATTTTATTTACTAAATAAAATAATGCTAAATAATGCATAAATAGTCAGTAATTACCAAACCCAAGCAATTTTTTTTGTTCCGTGTGGATCTTTTTTAAAAGTCATATATTAAACATTAAGTTACCATGTGCATATTCATCTAAGAGTGTGATGTGATCCTAAGTTTCTCAGATCTGGGAAGGACTTACTGAAACCTTTTTCTTTATTTTAAGCACCACAAAAAGAATTAAAGACTCTAAGCCTCCAACTTCACTAGTACATGAAGTTAAACAACAAAGAAAATGCAGAAGTTACTAAACGTACAGGACTTGCTCCCAGGTTTGGTTTCAGTCATCTCAGTATTGCAGATGCATGGCTTTTTACATCACCACAGGCCTAACTGTGCACTTCCTCCTCAGGGAATTTCTGTCTGTTTTTTAGTATCTGAGCTCTTAAAACCTCATTACCTTTTATTTTGCCTTCTAATCCCTGAAGCCTGAAACCTTCCCTCCCCCAGATAGTCACTAGCCCCTCCTTTCTCTCCAGGAGACTAGATCTGCCCAAACCACTCCTTCTAGATGAACATAAATCATTAACGTGGAAAACTAGCACAAGAGGTACTGTCACAGACATCTTGCAAGCCTGCAGCGAAATCAACACATAATGTCAGAATGTCACATTAACAGTAAGTTGACAAACTGATACCAGAAAGGGAAATACCGTGAACTTTCAAAACCAGTCTCAGCACTCTATGTGTTCTCCACTAGGCCAATAACGTGCTTCTGTTCAAAGTCAAACTCCTGTTCCTCCAGCCTATCTAATATATAGATATAATATATCAGATATAATTGAAAAGTAGGTCTGCTATGTAAGCTGTAGAAAACAAAACAAATCACATTCATATGCTGCCTAGCTGGACTGTTATGCTTTAAATAGGAAGAAAAAAAACCCATTAAGTCAGAATTAACCTTCTCTTATTAAAAAAAAAAAGCATCCTTTAACAACACAACAGCGTCTCGGAAGAATGAGCAAAGCATCCACGAAAAGACCAAAAGGACAACCTGGAAAAAAAAACGATTACAAAATTTTGTGTGCTGATGAACACACGAGAACAGCCAACTCTAAAGGTGAGCCAGACTCCAAAGCACTATCACAGTACTCAGTGTCTTACTATAATTTCAACCACCAGAATTCCTAAAGTACCAGAGAGATGTCAAAAAAAGCTCATTAACAAAAAAACCCAACCAAACAAAAAACCCCAACCCCCAGTACTACCAACAGACAGGTATTACAGAGAAGTAGATCCCTGTATTACTCAGGTTTGTACCATTTCGAAAGACGTCAATTTTAGAAACATTAGGACACAAACTGCCATTACAATAAAAAGATATTACAGGAACTGACAAGTTCCTCTTTTTTTTTGCAGGGAGCAGAAAGTCTAGGTTTTGCCACAAAACATCTTTGTGGTTACTTTCACATTCTGATTACGTATGAAAAAAATTCCTATGACTCTCACCTTTTAGCACCAAATCACAGGAATTTTCAATATCATTTGATATTCCAAATTCTTGCACGCATCTGTTTTGAACAAAAAGAGTATTTAAGATTTCCATCTTGAACAAAAACAAAATTAATGTACCACTTACATTAAGGTTCTCAGTGACAGTTTTAGCTATGGACAGAATCCTTACATACAACACACAAAGCACATAAAATACAAAGTAAGACTGTTCTTAACTTTTGGCTTTCTTATGTCCACCCCTACAGGTATACGCCTTAACATGTTAAGTAAAAACAAGACATTTCAAATCCCCAAATTTTCAGTAAAAGCTCATTATCTCATTTAATTAATAAAATTAGGAAATTATGGAAATACTGTGCTAATGAGCCAATTAATGAGTTTCTAAAAAATGAGATTTATAGCATTTTTATATTTGAGACCAGAGTAAATTTATATTCAAGATCATCTGCATAACAATATATCTTAAAGAGAGTTGCAAAAACATTTGTTCATAGATACTTCAACTATTTCAAGGATAAGTTAGGAAACAGTAACTATATCTCCTTAGAAAAGCTCAGAAGTAAAAGTACATGTTGAAGTATTATATACAGAATATACAGATTCCCCACATGAGAGGAAAGAAATACCTCAGGCAATTGATTCAAAACTCTGCACTATTGGGAGTCACCTAGGGGTAAGCAATAGAAAATAGTAAACAGAAGTATGTGTGAAAACTGAGTTTCACTGCCCTGCTCAGGCCACAGGCCAGAATCTTTTCCTGATGACTGGTAACTAATACCTGGAAGTGACCAGCACTCGCTCTTCTCTTCGAAAAATGCAAGCACCGGAGGAATGACCAGTCCTACTCATCCTAAAGGTCAGAACATGCTAACTGAACCAAACCATTCAGGACATACACACACAGAGCCTTTGCTGAACCTTCCTGAATAAAGACAGGACCTGTTTGTTCTACTTAAACCTACTTTTTCACAGATACCAGTCTGGGTATCTGCACAAGTACAATTACAGTAGTTCAGAAATTTTAAGTCAGAGATGTGCAGCAACAGCCAAATCAAACCAGAACAAGACTTACCTGAATTCTGGACCTCAGTCACTGTTCTGACCAGCTTTTGAAGGACAAGTGCTCTCGTAACTGGTGTTTTGACAAGCTGTTAAATCTCAGATTTTTGTTGTTGGAAGAACACTACGAACTAAGACACCAGTTGTTTCCTTTACATTGCTGTTAAACTCACAAGTAACACTCAACACAGTTTTAAAAAGCTTTTTAACAACCCAGTTATACTTTTCAGCATAAGTTGCTTCTAGCAGAAACACAGTTCTTGCTGGTCTGTACCAATGCCAGGCTAAAATATCAGTACATAAAAAGTAACATACTAAAGTCCATTCCCATGCATACATGTACTAAATAGCTTTAGCAAAGATCTAGATTCTTTCTGTGATCATGCTCTTATTAAACTGAAGGTAAATCGTAACAGAAGCCATGTACTGATAACAGCTAAAGGAAATACTCAGCTTGCATTAATCTTCTATCTAAAATCACCTAGATGACATTCATCTAGAAGCAAACAGCTAACATTACCCAAATGTTAAACAAAACCTGTATATAAACTAATATTTACACAAGTTAGAGATGCTTTAGAATAGCAGAGTTCTGACTCGATGTTCTCCCTGAACAGACTGGTGTTAGAAACTAATACTGCAACAAAGCAAAACTGAGGATGCATAAAATAAGAAGCCAAACAAGAAAACACAGACAGTAGTCTAGACCATATCTAAAGAAAAAAAAAGAACACGAACAGAGTCAGTATTTTAAAATATGTAGTATGATGTGAGTGTAATTCTAACAGCATAATCGCTTTTTTTTTAGTTGGCCAAACAAAGTTGAAGTGCCAATTGTATTTGGTGAAAGTCAACAAAATAAACTCCCAGTATGAACTGGCCATGATCTGGTATTATCTGGGGATACCATAGTTTTATCAGGTAGCTTATGATAAGGTCTATTGCCTTATTTTAATGTTCTTAATTCATTAATATGTTCCTGACTGTTACCAACCATGACTAGTCATCATCTAATGATCTTTGCATCAAATTATGGAAGGTAAAAAGAAAAATAAGAGAATTTTGCCTGCCTATTTCTTTAGCAAATTAAGGGAAAATTCTAAGAAACAAGAACCATGTATTCTTATTTTCCTTGGCTAATGGTGAACAAATTCACAAGGATATCAGAAGAAAGCTGAAATTATGACTTCAAATTCATCTATCTAATGATCTCTAATGTTGCTCTAAGTCAATGTAATTACTAATTAAAGGAAGTATTTGCCCTTCCCCACAAAGTACTTACAAGATCCAATAAAATTTTCAGTTACTATTTAGGTAAATTGCAAACCATATTACCATAAACAACACATGAGCGTGAAGGGCTCAGAAGTTCTGGTCCTCCATTCTGTGCATCAACTGTCTGAACAGTCAGTTGGAACCCACCTCTGGACAGACATTATTACCCTGGGTAATAATGCAAAATGTACAAATACAGCAAATACTAATTCTGATATACAAAAGACATCATAGACACTGTACCCAAAATGAATACTCATTCTAGTAAATTTACTATGACACAGCCTAGCTGCTTCTCAAGAAGTTGGACGTTGCTACTACAGACTTGCCCTGTTCTCCAGAGGCTTGTTTTGGCAGAAATTTTATTCTTTTAACATCTGAAAGTTTTATATTCTTATGTCCAAAACACTGCTCATCACCACAAAAAAGATTCCTTTCTGCTTTTGCACATGGGAGTAGGAAAGCAGAGAGTAAAAAAAAAAAAACAACAATGCATTTATAAGGTGGTTGGTACAACACTGAAAATAATTAAAACATTACACAAAATACAGATAACATAAAGCCACCCAGAAAGAGCACACAAAGAAAATTAGAACACCCATCCCAATAAGAAAACTAATTTTCAGAGGGAAAGCTTGTATTATTTTCTATCTAGACTTTGCGTTTTCCTTTGTAAGATGAAAAATTCAATCTTAAAACTCTTCCAGTGAACACAAGTATCAAACCTTAGAGAGAAAACAGACTAGACAGTCAATGAGTTCATCTACTCCACAAAGAACTACTACCTAGTTTACAAATGTTTGTTTCTACTTTAAACTTCTCTTCCTCTTTCAGTGACTTTTACTATCATCTCAAAACTCAGAAAAACATTAATACCTAATGATTTACACCGGGAACTTGTTGAATAAAGATGCAGGATCATAAACATCTGTAACACTTTAGCCAAGTTATGCATTTGAAAACTATTCACATGTCTGGGGATAGGAGAAAAATATGGAAGGAGAATGGCAGAATGGAATACTACTGCAGGGACAACCATTTACTCTCACAGATCCAGCAAAAAAATAAGCTATCTAGAAAGTAATAACATTTCTAAGTATTATACCACTTTACAAATAAGAAAAATGCCCCCAAAAAATCTGCTATCTCAAATCAAGTCATATTAAGAATATTACTTCCAATTATCTTTGTTTATATTTTCATATTTCACTTCACTTGGTCTAAATCAGTCCATTAGGACTATGTTTTACTTCAATCCAGTTTATCCAAGCTCTTACGAAGAACAACTTAATTTATCTGCATTCAGAATACTGACATAGCTTAATCAAATTTGACACTTAGAAGCAACCCAGAAATTATTCTTTAAAGAAGCCTGACCACTACAACCAAAGTATATTCATATGAGAAAAAAGTACTTAGGAGTATTGTAAGAAAAAAAGAATTATATGCATACCCAGAACTATTCTCAACCAAATGTCTCTTTTCTGAGGTAATGGGAGACTCAGGCTTTGTGTCTTTAATGCAGATATTAGTACAGGACGCTTTCACTGGACAATTCTCACATGCAAGGGCTAGCTCCTCTTCATTACTGGTTCCAAAAAGATCAGGGTCATCCTGAATCACATCAATAACAAGAATATCTTGCTTGTAAGCTTCAAGAATATCTGGTGAATTTTGACTATCATCATTTATTTGCAATCCAACAGGGTGGTCAACCGATTTCCAAGAATGATCAGGAAAACTAGGTTTCAGCACACATTCAGAACCGGAGAAATCAGGCACAGATGACTCTGGTTGTCCATCAAGAAGAGGATGTCGATATGCAGAAAAACTTTCGGGGAGCACAAATATCCCATTTGAGAAGGTTTCAGAGCCATTGTGCTGAAAGTCCTTACTGTCAATCTCATATGCTGTTTTCTTTACAGAAGCTGTAGATGTAGCATCACTTATGACAGGAAAGGGGGGGTGCTGCTCAGAATTTACCAGCACAGTCTCTTCACCTGTCTTCTGTCTTCTTGAAACACCAGTGCTTTCAAGCTCAAGTGGACTACAGGTTTTTCTTTCAAATGAATGGACAGATTTTAATTTCCTGGATTCAGGTTTGTTTCTACATAAAGGAATTCTGAATTTCGTCAGGTTTTCAGGGTTTAACCCTTTAATTAGCTTTAAATCAGAAAATGTCTGGTTCACTACTGACACTTTAGAGCTAAAGTTTATTCTATTTGTGTCAGCTGTAGATGTACCTTTCTGGACTGTCACAGACAGGTTTCTTTTTGTTACATCTCTGTCATTTCTATCTTTTTGTTTTGTTGTACCCTTCTGGACTGTCATAGACAGGTTTTCAGCTGTTACATCTCCTTCACTTTTATTTTTTTGTTTTGTTGTACCCTTCTGGACTGTCATAGACAGGTTTTCAGTTGTTACATCTCCTTCACTTTTATTTTTTTGTTTTGTTGTACCCTTCTGGACTGTCATAGACAGGTTTTCAGTTGTTACATCTCCTTCACTTTTATTTTTTTGTTTTGTTGTACCTTTCTGGACTGTCATAGACAGGTTTTCAGTTGTTACATCTCCTTCACTTTTATTTTTTTGTTTTGTTATACCCTTCTTGACTGTCACAGACAAGTTTCTATTTGTTACATCTCTGTCATTTTTATCTTTTTGTTTGGTTGTAAAATTGCAGGTTCCTTTAACTTCCTGCACATCATCATGGTTAAAAGCCAAACTGCTTCTATCTGCATTAACTGATGATTCCCCATTTTCATTACTCATTCTCGAAGTCTTGTAAATATCTACAGAAGAGGATTCTGGTGCTTCAAGTGAAGTCTGACATTCAGTATTTGGATCAATTCTTTTATGTGCAGATTCTTTTGTAATTTCTGCCGATGACACCGGCAAATCCAACTGTCTCAAACTCCCAGTCACAGCACTACCTCCTACACCTTTAACACTGCTTTTATCAGAGAAATCCTCAAAGGCAGCTTTTAAAAGTCTTTTTCCTTCTGAGATGGACCCATGATTTTTATAAACCCATTCAGAAGTCCTGGCACAAGATTCAACAGGCCAAACTTTTTTACCAGTCATGGGTACTGCTCTTTGACAGGTAAACTGCTGAAATTCCTTATTCACATTGTTCAATTTTCCCCCTGTCTTGCTTTTGTGACAGTCACAAGTATCATGGACCTGAGCTAGCGCTCTCAGGGTACCTGAGGCAGCTGACTGATGTGCCACAGTGCTTGAATTTTCTCCTTTCGCTATTACAGAGAGCTCAGATCTCTTCTTAACAGCATTTTCAAATGCAGGTACTTTGGTACTCTTCGTTCTCCAGGCTGATATATTTTGTGCTTCATGAGTATTTCTTCCCATATGAAGATTTAATTCATGATCACGTGAATCAGACAGAGTATGATTTAGTCCTGAAACTGCAAAGGAGCTTGATATTGCAACCGCTGCTTCTGCTTGTAACTCACACTTACTGCACTCATTAGCCATGCCTGTGAAAGTATTCTGCACTTCTGATTTCTCTGTGATTTTCATCTTTTTTCTAGGCTTCCTACCACTATTCCACTTTTTTTCCCTTAAACACTTATTGCTTTCACTCAGACAACACGAAAGGCGTCCTTCTCCATTTTCATTTTTTTCTTCGTTAGACGATAAACCACCTTTTACAGGTGATATCTCATTTAGCATTCTACTATTGCTGCAAATTGTATCACTCACCTCTACAGTACCATGGGCTACATGGAAGAATCCATTTAATTTATAACTGCTGGTAGTTCCACTAGTTGAAAGCTTCACTAATGTATTGATGTAACTACAGTCTTCTAATCTCACATATGGATTCTTTTCTGTTGCACAGAGCAAGCCACTACAATGTTTAAGGGCATTTCTGCAATGTTCAGCATCACATTTTACAGATGTGTTCACTTTTTCAGCTGCAGTCAAACTTTGCAAGTGCTTGATTTGACCATTTCTGGGTTTTCTTTTCTTAGGCCGACTTACTTTATACTGCACACCAGACTTTTTTGTTACAGCACGGCATAGAAAGCTCTTGCTTTGAGTCCCACCTAAAACAGCAACCATAGGAGATTTAGAGTAGTGAGATTCTGTTTCCTTAGAATCTTCTGGTCTGTTTTGCTCTGTCTTTACATTCTTCACAGCCCGTGAAGTACCAGAATCTTGCTCAATTGCTTTCAACTGCTCCCCTGCTGATTAAAAAAGCACAGAAAACACCAGAAGACTACCTTATTGCAATATTTTATGAAGAGAACAACAAGAAAACCAAACCCCAACATTCAAGGCTACTAAGAACATGACACTGGATAAGGCTAAGATATTTCTGTAAAGTTTTACCATTTTTTTAAAATGAACACTACCAGCAAACTTATTTTAAGTCTTATTTTAAGAAACAAATGCAAAGATTAACAAAACCTTAAGGCATCATAAGGACATTGCAAGTTGTAAATTTGTTATACATTCCACAGAGGTGGAAACCAAATTAGAGCAAGTCTGGCATGAAAATGCAGATGCTGTTTGCACACTCAGCCTTAAAATCTTTTGTTTACACAGTAGATTCTCTGTAAAAGGAAAGCTTATTCAGAAGAATATATTTCAGATACAGAGTCCAACCAAATGCATTAGACTGAACAAGATCCAGCAAAACTACAGGACTTCCATTTTTATAGACTACTACTTTTTGTTTCAAATACAGATTATGCAAAAACAGTACATCTGAGAATTTAGACTAGAAAATGTACTCAAGAATACGCTAGTAGGTTTTTTTAGATCTTAGGTTTCAAAGATACAATTTTGATCTCAGTTTTTCAGAATATGGTTTCTAGATAAAACATTTATTAATAATCTACAGTAAATACTTGTCATTCGAATGTACCCACATTGAAAGTAAGAAGAATGTCTTTTAGACAATCATTGTGAAAAATAAAGAAACTTTTAAAAATCCCCCTTCAAAATTGTTCCAGTTTGATACAACAGTCACTTAAAACATGAAAATACAATCATTGTTTCTACATCTTTTAGGATTTTAGAGAATAGCAATTAAAAAGCAAAAAGTTTTGGAAAAAAACTCCAGCATCCTGTAAAGGCAGGCACTGAAACAAGACAGCATGATACATATTCAAAAATAAATGGACAATATACAGATGAATGAAAAACTGACTTATTTTGGCTTTGCTGAAACTACTGCCTCCTTTCCTGCTTGTGCCTGACCTTCTCTGAAGGAATGGGCAGACTGTTTTTAAGAGAAGCAAATTCCAGTACTCCTCACCCAGGGCCTGTTGCTGCCAATATTCCTTCTCTCTCCCCCTCACTCTTCCTCCCTCCTGATACCCCCCAAAAGGTAACTGGTCTCCTCTCCTTTATGTTAAAGGCTGCTTCTCCTTCAAGAAAAGCCTTTCCTCTTTCTAAAAATCTGTTTTCTTCCAAGACTTCTATTCACAGTACTTTAAAGCACACTCCAGCTCTTACCTCTACACTTCTTGAACTAAGTTAACAGCCAGTTTTTAAAGGTCATCCTGCAGCACTAGTCTCTTGTTCTGGGAGCCCAAATTCTGCACCTGTACTTCTACAGTGGGGCTCTCCAAGTGCTTACCATTTTCCCCTGGGCTGTCTGCTCCTTTCTGAGGGACTGAGCTCTGCCATTCTTCTTTCGTGCAGCGCTTGTATGTCTTCCGTCTGGTTGGTGGTTGTTCTTGTCCATCTATGCCCTGTACCAGTGCATTTCTATCCCTCTTCCTCATATTCACAGGTCCTTTCCTGGACTCTGGACACTGTGCATGCAGTTCTAGCAAAACAGAACTACCTTCCTTTCTGGGACCGTATAGTTTTGGTTTCATCAATGATATCCCGCCTTTCTTGCTCAAACATTTCTTTTCTTTCTCCTGCGTCCCTAGTTGTCTTGATCCAACTAAAGGACACCCATTCAACTTCTCTGGCATATCAATCTCTTCCTGATGTTTTGGTTCAGTCATGGCTTCCTGACCCCCCAAATTCTCCCTAAAATCAGAGATTTGCCTATTCTGCATCATCATTGAGTCAGTGCATTTCATTTCAGTACTCCATGTGACCTCTCTGGGTCGCAACCCTTCTGGTTCCGGAAGACAGGAAATGCCACGTCTCTCTGCGCTCTCAATTTCTTCCTCTGAAGATGGAATTTGTAATTTTATATCCATACAGCCGTATTTGCCGTCTTTTTCTGAACTCCTTGAATCCTCTTGGAAAACTGAGAGGTCCACGTGGTCTGAGCAATGTTCTTTCCTCTCAATCCCTTCTGAGAACTTATTCTGCAAAGTAGTTCCCGAGAAAAACAGCTGCTGACTTTGCCCTGTCCCTCTCCTTACAGTCTCTTCACAGCCTACTGCTGCACCCGTACCTGCTGCCTGTCGATCTTCACTCTCGGCTGTGTCTGAAATTGGCGGAGCCACACCGCTGCCGCTTCTGGCAGCCCTCCTGTGCTGTATCCCCCTGTTTTTTCTACCTGGGAATTCCCGGCCGTTCTCACCTTGCTCCTCCTGCACGGGCAAAAGAGGAGCAAACTGCCCAAAGGAAGCGCTGGCGAGCCTGGCAGCTTGCACGCAGGCAGGTAAGGGCTGCTCTGGTTTTCTCTTCCGCGCCAGGCGAGGACTCCGCTTCGCTACGAGCTTTCTCCCTGGCTCACACCCTGCACCCTGGCAGCCGGGGCCGGCGCCTTCCGAGCCAAACGGCCCCACCTCGCTGGCCGATACCATTTTCCCCGACCTCAACCGCGGCATCTCGGGGGCGCAAAGACAGCAGCATAACCCAAAAAAACCCACTCGCAGGTGCACCCCAGTGAGAGCCCGGCACCCGCGGCGGGCACA